GAAAGAAATAAAACATTAGTACATTTAGATAGATAGATAGATAGATAGATAGATAGATAGATAGATAGATAGATAGATAGATAGATAGATAGATATTTTTAGGTACATTTATTTTCCTCATCTTGTAAAGGATGTTTAGATATTTTACTGGAAAGCAAGACAAAAATACTCATTAAGAAAATCTTTTTTTGCAGTGATGTTTGAAAAGCACAGTGTTTACACTCCTCACGAAGTTGACCTACAAATGACTGACTCATAGTTGTCTCTGCATATTAAACGAGAATATGAAGCAGTATTTTAGCATCAAAAAACTTACATACTACACCTTGTACAATAATCGAACTGCTATTTAATTTTTACAGAAGTATTGCCCTATATATCTCTTCCTAACCTGTGCGTTTAGCTGTGCCACTGTTCCCTGTTTACTCACTGACACTGTTTTTCAGCCTCCTGGGTGGCTCACTTTACGTTTCAACCAACAGCTTACAGTTTACTGTAGCTCATTTTATCTGCTAGCCCTGTGGATCCGTAGAGGATTACTGATGGAACTGTTCAGTAACTCAAAAGCTGACCTGCACTACTGCTGGGCTACTACAGTACTTATGAACTTTGGAGAAAGTATTCTGAAAATAACAAGTGATTAGGTGTTGAAGAGCAAATAGTGGCACTATGGTTTCAGGAGGTTTAAAGCACAAGTTTATTCATTTATGATTGAATGTAGCAACTTAAAGAGAGAAGTTTCAGGAAATGTTTTCAAAGGTGCATTGCAGGTCTTATTAGAACATGATGCCAATGTTTTTCTAAACAGAAATCCTAAGGCAGAAAATAGTTTTATATCAAATTATGTGATGTTATATGATACTATTAATGTTTCTGCAAGCTTTTAAATAGCACTTATTGCTGACATGCCCTGATTGGTGAGAATTGAATAAACACTCTGAAGCTATTTTAAGTGTATTCCCTACTAAGAAGATCAGCTTAAATCATAAAGGATACACTGATATAAAAATTATGGCCGATACCAAAAGCTGCTAATTATTTTCATGTTTTAGATGATAACCATAATAATGTGAAAATTCATCAAATTTCTACAGTATTTTGTCTAAAAAAAAAAAAACTAGAAACGTAAATCAGTTATTTTAAATGCTACAAGTGAATTTTGGCATCACTACTTTCATTATAATGTACAAGATATTTATTGCTAAAGACATATAACACTGTTTTAAAGGATTATGTTTGATGACTGCAAAAGCACAATTAAAGGAATCGTTCACCCAAAAAGCAATATTATGGATACAGGATTCATATTTTAGCCAGAAGCAATGGTTTGAAGGTAAAATGTCTTGATGATGGATTTGTTTCTTACAAACACGCAGCTTTTCACAAGACTTTAATTGATGGACTGGAGTCCTGTGTATTACTTATGAATTATTGTGATGTTTTTACCAGCTGTTTGGACTCTCATTCTGACGGCACCCATTCACTGCAGAGGATCCATTGGTGAGTAAGGGAAGTAATGCTAAATTTCTTCAAATCTGTTCTGATGAAGAAACAAACTCATCTGCATCTTGAATGGCCTTAGTGTGCGTATATATTTTTTAACATATTTTCAATTTTGGGTGAACTATTCCTTTAAATATACATTATTGAGCATTACCCATATAAACTCTAATATCAGTCAATAACAGGTATGGCACAGATATATTGTGCATCCCTAATCTCCAACCATTAACCAACCAGCTGAAGCTCAATCTGTCTAGTAAAGCATCCACGAAGCAAGGAAACCATTTAGTGATACTTACAGCCCACCATCATCATGGCCACCGAGAAGATCTTCTCCCCGTCTGTAGTAGGTGCAATGTTCCCAAAGCCAATGGTGGTGAGACTTGTCATGGTGAAATAGAGAGATGATATGTAGAGTGTGTTCTTACTGGGACCACCTTCCCACTGGCCAGAGCCACTGGCATTGTAGCGGTATGGTGTGCCAATGCTGATAGCCAACTGATAAAGCCAGCTCTCCCTCTTGATGTTGTTGGTGCCCTCATCGATGATCTCATAATCACCAATGCTGTACCAGATGCAGGCCAGCCAATGTGCCACCAGGCCAAAGACACACACCAGTAAAACTAACACAGCAGCACCGTATTCCAGATAGTGGTCCAGTTTGCGTGCCACTCGACCCAGACGGAGTAAACGCACCACTTTCAATGAGCTGAACAGGCTGCTGAGACCCTGGCGAAGAAAAAGAGAATATATCATCAGAGATGGAAACAGCATGTTAACACTAGCTGACCTCCATCACAAATCATGTTATAAAAAAATCTATAAAAATTCACATGGCACAAATTGCAGCACACTTAAGAAACCCTCCACCTTCCCCAGCTCCACCTGTATAGATCTACTACGGGATGATTTCATTTAATGTTTTTTTATCGTTTATCAGTTGGAAAAAATCCTTCCAACAAATGATTGCAACTATATTGTTACTCTGTGTCGTTATCATTATATGGTGTGAATGTCCCAAATCTAAAATGAATAGAACAATATTTATAATTTTATCTTATCATTATGATTTTTTCATCATATCTTAACAAAACAATATTTTGACAATATTTTCAAAAAACTGTTACACTTTATTTATAAAAAAAAAATAGTAAAATATTATGGAAAACTAGACAATAAGAATTTATTTTTGGAGAACTGAATCCTTTCATGAGAGTTTTTAATGAGACTGAAATCAGTTGTATCACTTTATGTCCAAAAATTATCAAAGTTTGTTTTAATTTAGAAATGATTCATATTTTTTATATAAGAGTTATGTTCAAGTCATTGTATGTATCAAAATACATTTCTGTATTTTAAAAGAAATCCAGACAAAACAAACAAATAAATAACTTTTTACATTTTACTTTAATGCAGCATATTATTACGTAGTTTTGGTTGGTGACATGCTTCTCTGTGTGCAATGTAAACGAGCTGGAAAGAAAACAATTGGGTAAGAAAAGAAAAGTCTTATATTGATAAGGTGCACTTGAAAGGCTTAGTTAACAGTTCATGACTTTAAAAAAAAGTCAGGTGTGGATTTCAAGGTGAGATCATCCATGTTCACTTGGTGGATGGGTGTCATATAGCTCCAGAGACCTGCTCTTTCAGCCTATAGCTACTTTGATCTGACACCTTTCATGTCAGAGGAGGAGGAGAGGATGGATAGCTGGGATTCCTCAACTGATCCTATCACTCCATCCCCCACATCCAAAGAGAATCTTAGATCTCATGAGTGAACAAAGTTGTTATATTGATCAGGCAAATTCTTTTGAGCTTATGAAAGATAACAGCTAATAGTTTGGATGTATGTTGTGGAGTCTGTATCATTAAAGGGTGGAATAAATATAGTCTTTTTGGCTCTGAAAGCAAAGTAAAGAGGATGCTTTCACTCAGGAACGCCCACGCTTGCACTTTATCCCTTTGAACAAAAGCTTAAACATTACTTGTCAACTTCAGGCCAATGCAGATTATAGGTCTTTAAAGAAAAAAACCCACTCTGATTAACATATATTTGTAAGAGTTTTCTTAACATACACAAATACAGCATTAACTCATTGGTAGGCCTACATGAAATGAGTATAACATTTTCTGCAAGCATTGCAGGGGGAGGTCTGTAGAATGGACTTAATATGGTGTTATACTACAATCTAAGGGTTCACTTAAGTTCACAGTTACAGAGGTTTAATCGCTGGAGTTTGCTTGCTAAAAGGCATTTCTACACAAATGCAATATCCAACTGAATCAGGAATCAGAACACATGACCCAACTGTGTGCACTACCACTGAAAATGAAGAACGGTGTCCAGTGTTGCTCAAAATTTGGGAACACACCGATATTAAAATTCTAAACAATACAATAATAGCTGATAGGTTTTTTTCTTGTAAAAAAAACAAACATTTTAAATGTAAAAATAGAAGAAAAGTGTAGGTACATTTAAATATTGAATAAATTAACAAAGCTCTAATATCAGCTGAAAAGTGCTTTATTAATATGCATTCGTAATTGTTAACTAAATATTAGTAAATATTAAGTATAAATATTTAATAAACACACAAGCGACATGAGACAACATACATTTACAATATGACAAATACAATAAATGACAAATCGCTAACATTAAATTTCCATACTATATTACCTAAATAATTTAAAAATAAAACATTTTAAAAAAACTGAAATATGAAAAAGTTAATTTATTTTTTAATGGATATTAAGTTTGAAATTTAAATTGTAATGTTCATAATTTATTATAATCAATACCTGAATCTAATTCTGTACTATTTTGTCTAAATAAAAATAAAGTGCAAAAAACTAAAATAGTCTTAAATGCTACAAGTGAAATTAGACATCACAGCACTATAATGTACAGAATTTAAAAAATTATATTCATTTTGAGATTTCTTAAAGATTACATTTAACAGTATTAAAATGATTAGTGTTTTTAACATTGACTTTGAATGAGCATTAGATAATAACAATGGTAATATAATTGTTAAAATAGAGGAAATGAGTATAACGATTGATACAAATAAATTAACAGAGCTCTAATATCAGCTGATAGTGCATCCATACAGGAAATTAAGCATAAATAAATATTAATTAAATATCTAAACTAAAACATATAAACACACAAAGGACATGAGCATGTACAGAACTTTGTAAATGAAGAACATTAAAATTTTACCATGAAAATCAGCCATTTCTTATTGAATTTAAGACAAAAAAAACTCTTTAATGCAATTTCTGTGATTCAACCTGCATGTTTCACAGCTGAACGTTTCTTATCTTATAGAGGTCAGTTGCGAGGTTATCTGGAGGACAAAATGGAAAGACACGTTCTGCGCACACTTGATGGACTTCACTTTTTAAGCTGGCAGAGCGAAAATGAGGGGGTGAGAAGTAAGTATACCTAATTGTTGCATCCTCAACAGCTTTGGACGGTCAGCCCAGAACTGTTTATAAATAGTGGCCGTGATGTGTACCTCACAGGTTTAATTAGTATTTCCTCCACTGAGGATTTCTGCCTTTTTTGTTCCAGCCATCACATAATCAAAAGGCAAATTTCTCAAACATGCTTTATGTTCCTGAAAGGAGCAATTTTCCCTAGACACTGACACGGAGGAAGGAAGGTAAAAATAGATGTGTTCATTCTGCAATATTGCATGAAATCCTAAGGCTTTTATTACACTAGCAAAAAAAAAAAAAAACGATGCTAATTTTGCCAACACAGTCAACTCCCCAGGCGGAGCAGCTTCTAATGGATACTTTTCCAAGTAATTTATCATTTTGAGGGCCTATATCTAATTTGCAACTGTGCTTATGTAGCATTTAGTAAACCATAAGGTTTTTTGTCTTTGTCTTTGAGGCCAAACAGATGAGTAGCTATCGGGTGTGAACATTAGAGGTTTTGAGTGCTCATAAATGTTCAGTTAGATGTGACGACCCCACAGTTGGATCATGGGATAACGGAAGAGAGAAACATTAATGCCTATTGGTGAAACATGCTGCGTGTGGTTGTGTGTGTCAGAGTATGGGGAATGAAGCTTGTGCGGTCTAATTTGAATTGACTCGCATCTAAAATCACTTTAGATAAACAAACACACTGAGGGGTGCAGCATTCAGAGCAACATTAGCATAAATTAGAGAGCCATTAGTGCATCTCTGCTCAACATTGAATAGGAGAGAGGTTACTGAACTGCTGTACAAATGAGAAAATGGGACAGAAGAGCCATAAACATCCCAAGAAAGGAGAGCGAACTTACAGGCAACAGCGAGTCCTCCGCACGTGTGGCGTTGCGTTGAGAGTGGGCCGCAGCTGGCAAGTGGCCCACTGCAGAAGAGTCTGCAATGGGATCCTAAGTCAGAAAGACAGAGGCAGACATTTCACTTCATGCCAAACTACACTCGCGCATGCATATAATAAGCACAGAGATGGACATTAGGATTCAAGAGACCCATTTACAGATATTAGATCTGAACAGCAGCACACTGAACGCGTCAAAGTAATTAGTATGAACGGAACAGCAGATGTATGCGGGAAGAACCTCATATCAAGGTGCTAAAAAAAACAAAAGCGTTATACAACAAGTGTCCTATAACAACAACTGACATGTCCTAATATGCACTTCCAGAAAAACCTTTGTGTGAAATGATTAAAGGAATAGTTCACTTGGGAATTCTGTCATCACTCATTCACCTTAATGTTGTTTCAAACTGATATGACTTTCTTTATTTTGTGAAACACAAAAGCTATATACAGTACATCAGTATATTCATATTGCTCTTTTCCACACAACAAAAACTATACAGTGTCCAAATATATAGTGGCTTTCAAGCTTCCAAAAAGAATTAAAAAACAAGATAATATACTGTACATTAGCTTTAGTGAGGAACAAACATAACCACACAATACAGGTGCATCTCAATAAATTAGAATGTCGTGGAAAAGTTCATTTATTTCAGTAATTCAACTCAAATTGTGAAACTCGTGTTCAGTCCTTTACTTGTGAAGTTCACTCAAATTCTTGAATAGATTTTGCTTGATAATCCTCATAAGGCTGCAGTTCTCTCGGTTGGTTGTGCATCTTTTTCTTCCACACTTTTTCCTTCCACTCAACTTTCTGTTAACATGCTTGGATACAGCACTCTGTGAACAGCCAGCTTCTTTGGCAATGAATGTTTGTGGCTTACCCTCCTTGTGAAGGGTGTTAATGATTGTCTTCTGGACAACTGTCAGATCAGCAGTCTTCCCCATGATTGTGTAGCCTAGTGAACCAAACTGAGAGACCATTTTGAAGGCTCAGGAAACCTTTGTAGGTGTTTTCAGTTGATTAGCATGTCACCATATTCTAATTTGTTGAGATAGTGAATTGGTGGGTTTTTGTTAAATGTGAGCCAAAATCATCACAATTAAAAGAACCAAAGACTTAAACTACTTCAGTCTGTGTGCATTGAATTTATTTAATACACGAGTTTCACAATTTGAGTTGAATTACTGAAATGAACTTTTCCACGACATTCTAATTTATTGAGATGCACCTGTATGTCTTACAGATAACATATCTTGAGTTTTTTAAAACTCCATTTTTATATTTTAAGAATATAGGTTTAAATTTAGGTTTACACTTTAAAAAAGCTACTTTTTTATTATTATTATATTTTCTGAAAAAAGTATTAATTCTTAATACTTAATATTATGCCATTTTGCTTTCAGTAAATGTATATTTCATTCATCTATCTTTTAACCACACTATTGATAGTATTAAATAAACTGAATAATTTTTTATTGAGGTTCATGCTTAAAAACAATTTGCTGGGTGAAAAAAACTTTAAGATATGAAGTCTTAATATCTTATGCAATTGTGCTTCTCAAATAAATTTATTTTTCAATTAAACTCATTAATTTTAAAAGGAATTAAAACAAAAATATTAATTAAGAAAATTATTTTTGTAGTGCAGGCCACAACCTCCTTGTACAGGTGGTACAGGGCACTGGTTACCAAAATTCCATACACGAGAACAATTATTAGATATGTATATATTGAATAGGCATATAAGCAATAAGAGCTGCCCTGGTCACTGTATAATTGGGAAACTGTATGGTAAAGAGCTTCTTAATAATTTAATTTTGGAAAAAAAAGTCATACAAGTTTGGAACGACATGCGAAGGACTAAATGAAGACAGAATTTTCATTTATATATATCCCATTAAAGGGGTCATATGATGCGCTTTTCAATTTTTCCTTTCTCTTTGGAGTGTTACAAGCTCTTGGTGCATAAAGAAGATCTGTAAAGTTGCAAAGACTAAAGTCTCAAATCCAAAGAGATATTCTTTATAAAAGTTAAGAGTCAGCCTCACCTACCTAAAACGGCTCGTTCTAACATGCCCCCACATGTCTACCTCACTATGTGGGAAGATTTGCATAACGCCGCCCAAATGTTCATGCAAAGAAAGAAGGCGTAACTTTTATTCTCGCTGTAGTATTGTTGTTGCCACCGCCATGTCGCGCTGTGTGTTTCGTTGTGAAAGCGAAACTACTTTGTTTGGCCTTCCAAAAGAGGACGATATCCGCTTCGTCATGCCTGGAGCTGATCCGTGCTGGTTGCTGAGGAAATACAACAACTTTGCGCTGTGGATCACCGGATCGGCTTTCACCGTGGACGAAGTGGAGTCCAGCCCGGGGTCGTCACAAGTGGTTGCCGCAAGCCCTCCGGACGCTTCTTCGTCGAATCTGCCGGCCGCGCTGTTCTAAAGCCCCCGGCCACTGCTCACTCTAGGCTGCCGCCGCTCACTCTAGGCCACTGTGTGTGACGCTGTGTTTTGTTGTGAAAGCGAAACTACTTTGTTTGGTCTTCCAAAAATGGACACGACTAGAAATCCGCGAGTTTTGGGCAGTGTAGAGTAGGGCTTGTTGTTTGTCATTTCTCCGATCACAAATGCAGACATGGTTTTATGTTTACGTGGCGCGATGCGATGCGATGCAACGCAACACAACGCAACGCAACGCAACGCAACACAACGCGTAAAAAGACAGTATAAGTCATTATAATCCATAATTATGTCTCCACTGGATGCAACGAATGCCTCGTTTATAATGAGTTTTCATGTTTTTGAATCATCGCTCCGGCCTGACAGGGCATCATCACAGTATGGTAAGGGGCGTAACATTTCCATCACACGCTTGAGGTATTCGGCCAATCATAACGCACTGGATAGCTGGCCAATCACAGCACACCTTGCTTTTCAGACCGATGAGCTTTGTAAAAATCGACGCGTTTCAGAAAGGCGGGGCATAGAGGAGAAACAATAATGTACAGTATGTGGAAAATAATGTGTTTTTTTTTACCTTAAACCACATAAACACATTTCATTACACCAAATACACCAAATAATGTTCTTTTTAGCAACATCATATATCCCCTTTAATACATACCAGAAAGAGCAGGTATTACACAACACAAGTCAAGAGACCAGAATAGCCAATAAACAGGCACATGTGGCCCACAGGGGACACAAAGACAGAACAGTCTCCAGTTCATAGAAAAACATCTGACAGCTGCACATCAATCCCCATGACAGACAGTTGCACTCTTGCCAACTGCTTGTGCCTTCAAATATTTATAACACACTTTGTAGCATTTTATTATGAGCAAACTTTTTTTTTTTTGTGACATCACAATGTTTCAGTTTGTTTAACTTTCAAAGGTATATAAAAACATTTAATCAACTGCAAAATAATTTTCTTGGTCTTTTTTTTATCACTGATAATTTGTTTTCCAGTTTTAGACAAATCTAACAAACAGAATGGTTGCTAAAACAAGAAAAACTATTTGATAATTGGGTAATAAAACAACATAAAATTATTAAAATATTCTTAGATATTATAATTTATAAAGATTATTATTATTATTATTTTTAGTGTTGATCATTTGCACTGTCATCTTGATAAATTCCCTTGGTTTCCAGTGCTCAGTGGGGGTCTAACACATTGCACACTAGCATAAACACCTGCCAACTCAACAAGTGTCCTGTTAAGGTTGTGGTTTATGTCAGGTTTGGGAGACAATTCACTGGGGGCCAGCTGAGTGTGACATTTCAACAGGAGCTGTGTCAGAGGCCATCAGCTTTCATAAAAACACTCTCTGCTGTTAAATATATACAGCATGCCCAACATAAACATGCATATTGGCATGTATGCACATTCAGAAAAACACATGCATAAATGCATGGGGAAAATGGAGATGTATTACTCAATTTATTCTATTCCTTCCATAAATTCTCTGAATGCTTTTAAGTTTGATCACTCAAATGTTCTGTTCCTCCACTTTTAATTCTCTAATTCTATCTGATTCCTTCTTTATTAGTACTACAGCTTTATTGGTATCTACAGCATATTGTCAGACTCTGTTCCGTGTTTTGTGTGTGTTTTGCTCCCCATGTGTTTCTATGCTCATATTTGGTCCTTCCCGTTCCTGTCCTTTTCATTTGTTCCAGGTGTTCCCGTTTAGTTCTATTGATCCCTATTCTATTGGTCTCGTCATCCCCTCGTCATGTCATGTGTATATAAAGTGTTCCCTGTTCTTAGTATGGCGTCTGGTATTGTAAATGTCTTCCTGAATTCCTGAGTGTTATTCCGTGTTGTTTAATTAAAGACTGTTGGTTTTTGAGCAACTCCTGTGTCTCCTCGTTGCCTGGTTCCAAGTAAAACGTGACAGAATACTGGACCAAACAATATGACTGCGGCTGAAGACAGGCTTTGGTGTCTGCGGCAGGGTGGTCGGGAGTTAGAGAGGTATGTAGAGGAGTTCCTAGAGCTCTCCAACCAGGTGAGCTGGTTCGACGCTGCTCTCGGTCTCTGTTTTCGGCTGGGGCTGAATGATGACGTAATCGGCTGCGATCTTCCCATGTACAGTTTTCCCCTGATCGAGTTGGTTAATCTTGTCCTTTACTTAAATAGAGTAAGTCTCGAAGTAGAAAAGGTTCAGAGCGATCATCATCCAGTCCCTCCCGAAAATCACCAGCTTTCATTTGTTCCAGGTGTTGATGATGACGTAATCGGCTGCGATCTTCCCATGTACAGTTTTCCCCTGATCGAGTTGGTTAATCTTGTCCTTTACTTAAATAGAGTAAGTCTCGAAGTAGAAAAGGATCAGAGCGATCATCATCCAGTCCCTCCCGAAAATCACCAGCTTTCATTTGTTCCAGGTGTTCCCCATTTAGTTCTATTGATCCCAGGTGTGTCTTGTCATCCCCTCGTCATGTCATGTGTATATACAGTGTTCCCTGTCCTTAGTTCGGCGTCCGGTATTGTAAATGTCTTCCTGAGTTCCTGAATGTTATTCCGTGTTGTTTCATTAAAGACTGTTGGTGTTGAGCAACTCTCTCGTTCCCTGGTTCCAAGTGAAAAGTGACATATAATTTCATTTTTCGCTGTGTTGGGTTTGAATTGCTATATTGCTCTATGAAAATGAAAAAAAAAATCTTGATATTATATTATGGGTCACCTCAGCTTATCAGTTTCTGTTTTTTGCTTTTTTTTTTTAAAGCACAAGATCATAGATGGTTTTCTAAAAAATTAGAAGTTAGATATAAAAACACTTTGTGATTAATAAAAAGTGTCTCATGATGTCAGTTTGGAAATACTTTAGACTCTGTTTAAATGTGTTTTCTAATAAATATTATGTGACTGATTAGTTCCTGATGTATGGCTACAATACATATATTTTTTTTTTAAGCTCAAAATGTTTGCCAGCCTGAGTACATTTCTATTAAAACAACTGTCTATTTCTATTTTTAAATGTAATTTAATCCTGTGATGGTAAAACTGAATATATATATGTGTGTGTGTCATCTAACTAAAAATACAACATAGGTTGTGTTTAATCACATAATTATCACTAAGTAAGCTCAAAATGTTTGCCAGCCTGAGTACATTTCTATTAAAACAACTGTCTATTTCTATTTTTAAATGTAATTTAATCCTGTGATGGTAAAACTGAATATATATATGTGTGTGTGTGTCATCTAACTAAAAATACAACATAGGTTGTGTTTAATCACATAATTATCACTAAGTATTAAGAAATGAAGCAGCTGCACAAACAAACATTACTGCTTTCCTTTTTCAGCTACAGACCATCTATTTGAGACATAACCTTAGCTGAACTCAGCCTGAACATGCAGATTTCAACCCCAGCAGGAGTGATACAGCAGTGACACATGGTCCCACATGCCACAGGAACACTTTATTGAGATCTGGGCACACTGCAGATTTGGGACTTCATTGTGTTCCAGTGATGCAGAGACTAATGCATTCCAACAACATCACCACAATGGGAAAGGATGCCTGTTGCCTGGGCAACCGTGAACTTACGGCACCAGTAGGAATCCGAAGAGTTATTTTATTGGATAAATATATCATACCATGCATATGGAGATTAATAATGTAAAGAAGCTTAAAGCAGAATCATATTTTATTCTGAATGTCCATAGTCGCCCAATTTAACCTACAGCCATTAGGACGCCTGTGCCCATTTAAAGTCTTTCGGATGATCACTTCCATCTCAGCTCTCTATTAGATCCTCCAGACAGATAAAAATCTTCCAGAAGAACTCAAAGTACACAGAAGTACAAAAAGAGCACTGGAAGTGCTTTTCATTCAAAACAAAAGTTTATCTAGGAACACTAGCATACTGAAATTTACTTCAAGAATACTTAAATGGACAGTTCATCACAAAATAAAAATTTAATGAAAAATCATTCAATTAATCACTCATGCCTTTCTAAACCTGACTTTATTATGTGGAACAGAAAAGAAGATATTTTTAAAAATGTTGGTAATCAAACCATTTTGGTGACTTCTCAATATATCTTCTTTTATGTTTATATTAATCTTTGAGCCTCAGAAACCTTCTCATTTGGCAAATACTGCCTCCTGTGGCGGATATATACCACAGCAGCTCTAAACATTGAAAAGACTCACGCACAACTGATATCACACAACCATCTCAGTTCGTCCTTGCCTCTCCTTCAACACACATCTACACAGACTCCAGAAATCACGCAGCCCACTTATCATTGAACTGTCTGGCTGGGCTGAGACCATTTAGGCTAATGTCCAGTACCGTGAGCAGCCACTGATATGGAAAGAGATGGCAATAATGGATATAGTTTTCACGTCAGAGTTTCAGCCTCAAGAAATGTTGGAAGGAAGTGGGGTCCACTCAATCCCACTCCTTTCTATCGAGAAAAATAAAGCATTCCTGACGTGCACAAAAACGTGCATGCAACACCACTCGTGCAAGTCAAAGAGAGGAACACAAGCTGCATTCCTTTCTTCTCAGATGGAAATGTATGCTGGAGAAGTCCTGTGCAAACAGTAATTACCGCAAACAAGATGCGCAGATGAATAATCACCAACTTTAGTAACATGGAGGAGGATCAATTATAATGCAAGAGCTGAGTACAGAAAATTTGATTGGAATACTCCATAAACATAACACCAAAAGTAATAAAATCTAAGAAGATGAAGGTTTATTGATCTGTGCTTTTGCCTATAATTGGTCATCGGAGAACAATCAGATATGTTATATCTGATCAAATAAACTGTAAACAAAAAGATTTTTGTTTGGCAGTAATTTGAATGAAAGACAATGCACAGAGTAAACTGTTTCAAGGTCTTCTGCAGTTAAATCATCATTTAAGGTATGAGCGTATTTAGTTAAATCATTATGACAGCAGAGTCCAACAAATAAAAGCAAATCTATACTGATAAACCGAGATGATCACATCATTCATCATGATTCAAGTCATTGTTTATCAGAGGATATAAACTATGGCTAGGGATGGAAATCTTAAGGAATTTAACCATTCTGGTAACGATTCGGATTCCTCTTAAAGATTCTGATTCCTTAACTGTTCCATTAATGATTCTTTTAATTTTGAGGAAGAAATATTTGAGAAAAAATAATATTTGGGATTGTTTCAGGAGTACATGTAGAACAACAAAACCAAAAAATTGTGGTAACAAATTTCATTAATTCCCTTATTTGTTCATAAAATACCACTGAGAGAATCAAGTAAGTCAGATTAATTAAAAAACTGTCCCAACTGATCCATACATATTTGTGATTCACTAAAAAGGACTGGCTGAAAAGAGTCATTCACTCAGGAACCAGGCTCGAGCTGATTGTTTTTTTTCCCATCGACCATTCAAAAGTTTGGGGTCTGTAAGATCTTTTGAAAGTTTTTGAAAGAAGTCTCTTATGCTCACCAAGGCTGCATTTATTTGATCAAAAATACAGTAGAGTAATATTGTGAAACATTATTCAAATTAAAAATAACTGTTTTCTGTTTTAATATATTTTCAAATGCAATTTATTCCTGTGATGGTAAAGCTGATTATCAGCAGTCATTGCTCCAGTCTTCAGTGTCACAATGATCCTTCAGAAATCATTCTAATATGCTGATTTGCAGATCAACAAACATTTATTACTATTATTTTTATTATTATCAATGTTGAAAACAGGTGTGCTGCTTTATCTTTTTGTGTAAATAGTGATACATTTTTTCACAAATTTTTGATGACTAGAAAGTTCAAAAGAACAGCATGTATTTGAAGCAGAAATCTTTTGTAACATTATAAATGTCCTTACTGTCACTTTTGATCAGTTTAATGTGTTCTTGCTGAATAAAAGTACTGACCCCAAACTTTCAAACAGTAGTGTGTATGTATATGTATGTATATATATATATATATACTGTAGCTACATTACATTTGCTTGAATAAATGTCTGTCTTCAACGTTGTGCTTACCTCATCCACGTTTTCAAAGGCATTAATGATGTCATAGGGCAAGCAAGACAGCAGGTCTATGACAAACCAGGTTTTCAAGTAGTTCATGCGTATGAGCTTTGGGTCAGATATGACCTCTCCTCCAGGTCCCACAAAAGTTGTATGAAAGTTCAACACAATATCCACAAGGAAGATGACATCCACCACGCTGTCCAGTACCAACCACACTAGGTTGTTCTGTTTGGTCTTAAAGGACACATTGTAGGGCACCATAATGGCTGTGTAGAAGGTGAGAATGAGGATGACCCAGTCCCAAGTGGTCTTAAAGGTGCAGTAGTGCAATATAATGTGAGGTGGAGTTTTAGGAGCCTCTTGCTTATATTGAGGGAGGATGTCAGAGCCCAGCTGAAGAGCCTTGGAAAGACAGAAAATAAAGTTAATTAAAAAATTGACAGAGATTCAAAAAAAAATAAGATACATCAAAGGATTCTGATGTTCTGATGTCACTACAAGGTTTCTTAAGAGCTAACTTCATCAACCAGTTTTGCTGATGAATATCTATGCTGGCCTACCAAAACTGTAAGTAAAACAATGGCTTTTTTCCTCAGTGTTTTTGTCTTGTTTTCCAGTAAATATATGCAAACATCCATTAAACAAGTTACATTTATTTCCACACTTTTTGCTGATTTAAGCATAAAAGCCTGTTCTCAAATTTTTGATGACTAGAAAGTTCAAAAGAACAGCATGTATTTGAAGCAGAAATCTTTTGTAACATTATAAATGTCCTTACTGTCACTTTTGATCAGTTTAATGTGTTCTTGCTGAATAAAAGTACTGACCCCAAACTTTCAAACAGTAGTGTGTATGTATATATATATATATATATATATATACTGTAGCTACATTGATATTGCTCGAATAAATGTCTGTCTTCAACGTTGTGCTTACCTCATCCACGTTTTCAAAGGCATTAATGATGTCATAGGGCAAGCAAGACAGCAGGTCTATGACAAACCAGGTCTTCAAGTAGTTCATGCGTATGAGCTTTGGGTCAGATATGACCTCTCCTCCAGGTCCCACAAAAGTTGTATGAAAGTTCAACACAATATCCACAAGGAAGATGACATCCACCACGCTGTCCAGTACCAACCACACTAGGTTGTTCTGTTTGGTCTTAAAGGACACATTGTAGGGCACCATAATGGCTGTGTAGAAGGTGAGAATGAGGATGACCCAGTCCCAAGTGGTCTTAAAGGTGCAGTAGTGCAATATAATGTGAGGTGGAGTTTTAGGAGCCTCTTGCTTATATTGAGGGAGGATGTCAGAGCCCAGCTGAAGAGCCTTGGAAAGACAGAAAATAAAGTTAATTAAAAAATTGACAGAGATTCAAAAAAAAATAAGATACATCAAAGGATTCTGATGTTCTGATGTCACTACAAGGTTTCTTAAGAGCTAACTTCATCAACCAGTTTTGCTGATGAATATCTATGCTGGCCTACCAAAACTGTAAGTAAAACAATGGCTTTTTTCCTCAGTGTTTTTGTCTTGTTTTCCAGTAAATATATGCAAACATCCATTAAACAAGTTACATTTATTTCCACACTTTTTGCTGATTTAAGCATAAAAGCCTGTTCTCATCAAATACAATAATGATACTATAAACTATAAAGTTTAAATGATTCTATGAGAACAGTCGCGTCTGAACCACAACTATAATAATTAATGACACAACAATATAGCTGGAAGCACTTTCAGAATGATTTTTCCAGCTAATGAATGATTAAAAACTCTCACATCCAATCAGAATTCCCCCTTTATGTTTGACTTTAAAGAGATCAAGCATTTAAAGCGGTAGACGACAAACATACAGCATTTGCTTAAATACAGTGGTGTGAACAATTATTATTAATCTTTATAGTTCTTGGTATTCTCTAAAAATATCTTATCTAACAAAATACAGTAAAGTTCTTAAGGATACTTTAACTGTTTTAAGACAAAATACTGATTATGAAAATGATTGCAGTTGCAGTGCAACAAGACCACCACGAAGAATCATCCTGGTCTAAGCTGGTCTTTTGCCCTGTCAAAATTATGCACTGTAAGGTATATATACCTAATGAAAGGGCACCAGAAGATATAATACAGTGAAAAGTTTTAGAGACATAAAGCCTATGTCAGCAGTCATTGGACAGCTGAGTCAACTATTATTTGTCTGGAAATGAAGTCAGACTTTATTTCTGCCATGTGGGACTGAAGACAAAGGCAGTTGACCTTTTAGTATGTGCATATATATGTGTGTGGGTCAGGTTTTGCCTTCACAGTGAGGTCCAAATGACTCCAAAAAGACAGTAAATGAAGATCAGCTACAAAACCTGACCAGCCAAAGGTCCTTGCAAGGGAAAAAAGCTGAATATAGTTTTAGTGAAAAAGCAAAAAGGCTTATATGACGGTCAAGAGTATGGTAAAAAGAAAGAAAACATCATTAGCTATCATTATCATAAAAACAACAGAAGTCAATGGAAAGTCCTGACCATAGAAAAACAAAAGTGTGTGTGACGCTCACCTCTGCCAGTCGTGAATGCTTGTGGCTGACCTCAGTCTTGTTCATAGGTGTGAGCTGCTGAAGTGTACTCCGGCTATTGGTTAAAGCCCTGGTCAGCCTGGCAAACTTGGTCCATCCTGCCACATAGAGCAACAAAATGGTGTATTAACAACAGGAAACACTTCTTTGCCTCCTCTCTACATTTCTTCCTGTTTACTTTACTCACAAACACACTTTTCCACACAACTAGTAGCGCTGCTGGCATCATGCTCCTGTGATGCCAGCAATGGCCCACGCTGATTTCCACCGAGGCTCCTGCAAATGCTGACACCAGTGAAAACTGTTCTTCCCCATCCCTTCCTTCCAAAAAGCTCACATATTTTTGTGTACCCATGTCCCATATATAAAGTCTGTGCCATCATCATGTCCCAGCCTACTTCTTCCTTCCTTTGTAAAAACAGAAACCATTATGAGCCCTTGGGGGCTCTTCGCAAAGGCATAATGTTTCTTTATGGACTTTAAAATTAAAGCATTATGACATGGTGGAGACATGAAGGAAGATGTTGCGTCCAACAGGGAGCCTCGTTTGAAGTCATTGCTATCTCATTAATAAAGACAGAAGGGAGAATTTCCTTTTGATCTCAATAACCCTAAAGTCAGTTGGGTCAGTTGAGTCCTACAAAGTAAGATCTTCACCAAGTGATTGTACAATGTGCACGTGCCAATGTGAATGCAATTTCTATGTTTTTAAAAGCTTACAGGGTGGGAAAAGAAGTAAAACATTAATAACATTGCGGCTCTCCCATTTAAGTCACATCTCATGAATGTTCAAACACAACAATACAGTACTGGAGCACATTGGATATTGTAGTGTTACGCTGTCAGAGACAAAGTTGTAAAATTTGCTATAAATTTACACAAAAAGGTTTAGTAAGCTATTTCTTCTTACTTTTTTTAAACCAAAGTTATGACAGAAGTGTCAATTAAGCTTACATTATATTCCTATAAGGTTTTTAGCTAACATATATACTGGTACTATTGTTAATCTGCAATAAAACAACATGATTAGTACAAATATTGAAAACGCAGAGAGTAAAAGAGATACGAAATCTGACAAAAAGTAACTATGTCACAGACAGAAGGAGGAAAAGGAGAAAAACAATGGATGGTTAAGGCCATCTGGCTGTCTTAGGGCAAAGAGTCACAACGCTGCACTGGACCCCTAATATCTTCCAGATATAGTCCTTCTACAGGGCAAAACGATGCTAGGTAGCCTTGTCGAGCAGCCATAAGGCAAAGCCTCCGAGAAATCTTGGTTTGGCCATTGCAGCCTCATAGAACCCTATCAGACCTAAGCTACAATGGAGCATATGTTTGCCCAAATGCACCACATCTGGCAGAAGAGTGGCAAACTAGGTCTGCAAGACTGCAACACACTGCAGCAGTGAAGGAAACAGACTAAGGGGAGATTTCACTAAGAATCACACCCATTGATAGAAGTGTTTATTTGCGCATGCCATTTGCATCGTTTTGCCGCCCAATGCACTAAAGGAATTAAGCAAATCAGGTAATGATACAGATGAACAAACAAATTTTGAATGAAATTTTCTTCGGGGTTGGATCTGAGTGCCTGACCGTGGAGAATGCAGCAGACTACTGTGAAATTGCACACTTTCTATTGGGATAGTACAGTATTGCTCCACTACTGTGCTCCAGCCACATTCTTTAACCCTGTAAAGCTTAACATATGAATAAATAGTCTGTATAATCTAATTTTTTTTAAATAGTTTACTGAAACATTAGACAAAATATTTTTAAAAATCTGTAATTTGGTGCAGGTGCTGATATTTACATGACCAAAAAGTAACATTAAATTATTAAAATGATACTCCTGATATTTTTTCTATCTACAGCTCTGAATCCAGTCTATACATAACCACAGATTCTTCCTTTATGAGGGCTGCTAACTACATTCCTTTGAACTTCTACTGACTAGCTCTCAATTTATGCAGGTGTCAATGCCGAGGTCCTAAAGTATACGCTTGATGAGCTGAAAATCCTCTCCAGGTAACTATCTGATGCGTACAGAAAGATCTGGAAGGATCTCAAAGGGTTTCACTGTTGCCATGGAGCCCATATTCATTCCTCATTTTTCTTCCCTATTTGCCTGTAATTTGGTGCAGGTGCTGATATTTACATGACCAAAAAGTAACATTAAATTATTAAAATGATACTCCTGATATTTTTTCTATCTACAGCTCTGAATCCAGTATATGTCTATACATAACCACAGATTCTTCCTTTATGAGGGCTGCTAACTACATTCCTTTGAACTTCTACTGGCTAGCTCTCAATTTATGCAGGTGTCAATGCCGAGGTCCTAAAGTATACGCTTGATGAGCTGAAAATCCTCTCCAGGTAACTATCTGATGCGTACAGAAAGATCTGGAAGGATCTCAAAGGGTTTCACTGTTGCCATGGAGCCCATATTCATTCCTCATTTTTCTTCCCTATTTGCTATGATTTGAAGTTTGTGCCCCTCTGGGTAAGCCACCATCAATGAGATCACGCTGATAGGCCAGAGGTCCTCAGAGAAAGAACACGCCCTCACCTGTGTTTTAAATGTATGCACAGATCCTTTAAATGCTGGGGATGAATGCACAGTAAACACAAAGTAACCCTGTGTGCATTGGGAGCACTGACGCCTAACGGTGCTTTATTATTTCTATGCAGATGCTTTGCATATTTCATTGGACCACCAGTGCAGAGCAGGGCATTACCGACAGGAACACTGTTCCAGTGGGATTTTGAGACAGCATACGTGGAAACATACATGGACATACGTGGAAGCACACACACACATACATGGAAGCACACACACACATACACACTGTACTCTTGCTTTTAGCTCTACCATCTCCCCAGGGGCAGCAGTCACATGGAATGAAGCTCTAGGGAAGATCTCGATTATACAACTAATTACAAAATACCTGTGATGCAAATAACACTAAAACGCTTCACTAGCTACGCACAATGCATGTAATGCTTTACCTTAAAAACAATAGTAGAAGCCAAAGCCTGGGATAAAAGCAACAGTCCAATCAAACTGTTTTAATCAAAAACAGTAATATTGTGAAACATTATTACAATTTAAAATAAATTATATATATTTTAAAATGCAATTTATTCATGTGATGAAAAAGCTGAATTTTCAGCAGCCATTACTTCAGTCACATCTTCCACATACTTCAGTGCCACATGATCCTTCAGAAATAATTGTAATATGCTTACATGATACTGACTCTTCAACCCTAAAGGGAACAGCCCCATTACAAGCTCTTAAATCAAGTAGCAGATGCTGTATAGCCCATCACTGTCATTCCAGTAAGTTCATCAATCACATCATGATTTAAATATACTTCCACTACTGGAGGAACCTTATAAAGTACCTCTTCTAATTTATTGCCAATACAGCTGATGTCGAAGTTCAAAGATCTCAATGCAGGCTTTCCATACCTGATTCTGCACTCTCACATCGGTAAATGCACATGAGCTATTCATGAAGCAATACTGAATACACATCTGGCGTGTGACGTTTAACAAATGCCCCTTTAGAACAACAGATCTCATATTTACCTAACAACAAGCTCAAGCGACGTGCCAGGCTATGAATAATCTGATTGTGCTGTTAATATTTATTAGTACATCAAGGGTCAGAAGTGGCATAGATTAACATTTTGATAAGGCAAATAGTCCTTCATTTACAAAGTAATCACTGTAGGTGATTTGAATGCCTGATAGATGCTTAATAAAGTTTGTGGTTCAGTGTGTGGTGATGAGTAGCTTATATTCTCGACACGGCATTACTAAGGCTCGTAATGCTCATCTATGTCAAAGGAATGTGAGCACAGTCACCTGTGATGCATAATTTTCTATATTCATAAATATTTAATAAAAGCTATATGGATAAGTACAGCCAGTAGAGTTTTGATTATTCAACAGGGAGAAGATAGGCAGTAATTAGTTACTGAAATTGTGGTGTTTTCATTGACATTTTCATAAATACCATGTGTCTGTAACTGCCAAAGCAGGGAGATTACTATTCAAGCACTAAAGTTAGACTTCAAGTTCTTTATTGGCATCAATGGTTCCTTGAAGAACCTTTTACATCCATGCACTTCTAAAAATTAAGGTTCTAAAAAGGTGTTTTCACAGTGATGCCATAGAAGAACCCTTTTTGTTACCCCAACAACCTTTCAGTTAACATTTCTTAAAACAACCATTTTAGTGTGAAGAACATTTTACAAATCTACAGAAGCTTTTTCCACTCTAAAGAACCTTTTGTGAACTGAAAAGGTTCCATGGATGTTAAAGGTTCTTCATGGAACTATTGATTCCAATAAAGCACCTATTATTTTATTTTAAGAGTGTGGTACCTTTCCACAAAATGTTCTTTACAGTGGGAAAAGGTTCTTTGGATTATCAAAATGATTATCAAAACTTTTTTAAGAACTATTGGTTACACTTTATTTTAAGGTGTCCTTGTTTCAGTGTAATTATACATTTAAGTACTGAGTAATATTAATCAACTACATGTACTTGTATATGGTTAGGGTTAGGATTAGGGTTTGGCTTAGGGTTACTTGCATGTAATTATGCATAATTTATTGTTATTATAATATTAAGTACATGTAACAAGGACACTAAAATAAAGTGTTGCCAAACAATTCTCTGAAAAGCTCTTTGGGGAACCCAAAATGGTTCTTCTATGGAACTGCTGTAAAAATCCACCTTTTGAAACCTTTATTTTTAATAGCATTTGCTACCACAGCTGTCACTAAATACAGAATGGTTTAATTTCAAAACTGCTTGTTCATTGGATAGTCTTTCCATCTGATAGGCTGTTTATCTGCTAGAGAGTGATACTCGCTGAACTCACTTCCTGTCGCTCTGTACACACCCACTGACAAGAGTCTCAGTTGGGCACAGGTGCCCTGCCACAAAGTGACAGCAGCTGCCATCAAGTCTCTGAGGGGAAATTCCAAATATATATATATGTGTGTGTGTGTGTGTGTGTGTGTCTTTAAAGAGCTCCTGTGTGGGCTAGGATCACTGTCAAAGGACAAGTGCTTCAGTTTAGCAGTGGCACACGCTGACAAGGAAAATAGCCACTGGTTTATATGAGATCAAGAGAGAGAGAGAGAAAAACAGAAAGTGAGAGTAAATGGTGGGAAAAGTAGGATCTGATTCAGTTGGGCACAGGTGCCCTGCCACAAAGTGACAGCAGCTGCCATCAAGTCTCTGAGGGGAAATTCCAAATATATATATATGTGTGTGTGTGTGTGTGTGTGTGTGTGTGTCTTTAAAGAGCTCCTGTGTGGGCTAGGATCACTGTCAAAGGACAAGTGCTTCAGTTTAGCAGTGGCACACGCTGACAAGGAAAATATCCACTGGTTTATATGAGATCAAGAGAGAGAGAGAGAAAAACAGAAAGTGAGAGTAAATGGTGGGAAAAGTAGGATCTGACAATGCCCATCAATCATAAATACACATATAGCCTATACAAGTAACCTCCATGGCTGACTGCAGTGATGCTCACAAGCAGCACTCTCCAACATAAAGTGACAGCTTGTCGCTCTCATTATACTACCATGTGCTATTGGGCCAAGCAGGCTGCAACACACAAACATCCCTGCTTAAAATCCAACTGACCTTAATTCAGTATTTTTGTGTGGTTCTTCAGTAAAAATATCTCAAGTTAAACATCCTTAAAATAAGATAGATTTTCTTGAAATTGTAAGATATTTATGACTTTTAAATGTAAACCTCACTCATTTTTGTTAGGTGTACACCTTAAAAAAATTTAAATAATATTTAATAAAGTATAAAGTAATTCTGTTAATGAATAAATCTGGTTGGATTTATTCACATGAGCTATATTCACATAAAATAATGCACTGTCAATTCAAGTTTGTGTTTATGTGTGTTAATTAAATTTTTTACCACAAGGCTGAAAAATGCAACACTCAAGATAAGATTAAGAGTTCTTACCTCTGGTGGTCTCATCTTCAATGGGCTGCTTGAAGACAGTGATGTCTTTAAAAGTGCAGAGGAACAGGACCACCTTATCGTTCTCATTCCTGATGGGGGCCACCTGCATGTAGAGCCACACAGGGGTTCCTGACAGCACCGGATGAACACAACGAGAGAGGAGAGAGGGCGGGATGAAAGGAAAGTAAAGTATGAAAAGTGGTACGTGAAAAGAAGAGAATCGAGGGTATAAAAGAAGTCATGACCAGGAGGATAAGACATGGATGAGAATGGTGAGGGAAAGTGAAAGTGACAGAGGGGTTAAATGAAGGGAAGGTGTCGAATAATTGATAATGAGATTATGGTGGCGAATAAAGATTGCAGGAGAAAGACAGGAATTGAGAAAAAAGAGGGAGACAGGAAGATCATTGAGACCAAGGTTCTCGGTTCACCCGTATGAGAAATATACGGTGTAACCCGTGTGCCTAATGGGGCATTACATCTGAGCTTAACAGGACAGCTTTATCTTACAGAGGCTACATGAGGAGATTTATCTTTATAGTAGCTGCATTAGAAAAATTAAAAAGCGGACAGGATGCAATTGTGTCCAAAATGCAAGATGCCTTGAGGTGTAAATGATCAAATAACTCAGCAAAGAAGGTAAGTTTTTTGGGATGGGCATGAGTAGCCGAAGATCGGTCATGATCATAAATTACGTGACTGTTAAAAGAATCCGGATCAGGAGAATAAGGGAATAAGAAGAATGCGTGCACACACACAGACACGCCTCGACAGCTAAACCGAGTGCAACTGAATGGAACAGAACACAGGTTTTTCAGACTCTCTAAAATAACTATTTTTAACTCGTTCCAGCGTATTGTCACACTGTGGGATCTTAGTTGTCATTAACGTCACACTGTATAAACAGTCAAGACATACATAAGAAGATCTGTCTGGAATTTTCCATCATCAATCTGTAATGTGTTTGGTGATGGTGAGCTAAATTTACATGCAGAAAAAACAATCTTCAGTGTTCATTTTGATAATGGCTTGTATTGAAAAGAAAATAGAAATAAATGAAGACGATATGTGTGGAGCAAGTGGTGGTTAGTTGTTATCGCTCATCAGGTTCTGTGCTCCTACTGGTACTTAAAAGTTGATTGCAATGGTCATTAATCGGTTGTCACTGAACATGTCAAGTTAGCGATCAAAGAGTCCAGATTTCAGCATAGGATCAGAGGAATCTTTTAGGATTTAGGCCAAAATCATACAGTGTGCACCCAAACTTTATGTCAAAAATCTGTGAAGAAAACAGAAAGTGAACCACAGGGCAACCAAGCTAAAAGATCATATAAATAGCAATCAGGGCCGTTTCTAGGCATAGGCAAGCTAGGCGGTCGCCTAGGGCGCCACCAGCTGAAGGGGCGCCAATGAGTGCACATACTGGCACTTTTAGCAGGGTTGTGATAAAGAGTGGCACAGTCACCCTGAAATATGACTGCCGCCCCCACTGGATCCCCCAACATTATTGGGCTAGAGTACTGTCAATCTGACGATGCCTGTATGCCACTAGATCAGAGTGCTGTCAATTGCTGCCTGATTGTTGCATGCAAAGTTTGCATTTGGAGCGCTCAACAACGCCATTAGATCAGAGGGCTCTGCCAGTGCTTTGGCAAGGTAACACTTTTTTTGCCATGCAATAAAGCTAAGTTCAAAGGCCAATTTAAAATATTGGTACAGTAAATAAAGTGCACAAAATCAGTATATATGAATATACAATATTTTGTTTAGGCAGTATTTGTGGCACATTTGTCCAAATATTTGTGGCAGATTTGTCCAAAAGGTGTGCGTTTTTTGCGCCAATGCATTGTTAAAGGATCAGCGTGTCATGTAATATTCACATATAAACTTTAACATCCAATTAAAAATATTTGTATAGTAAAATTCGCTAATTCACGAGATCAATACATCCTTTATTAAGTGTCGAAATGCTGAATCAGTTCATTCACTTCCAACAGAGCTTAATGGGAGCAGCGTCATAGAGGGCAGAGCGTCACGTTATTTAAAGAGCAAAGGGTCTGAATACTTAGGACCATGTGATATTTCAGTTTTTCTTTTTTAATAAATCTGCAAAAATGTCAACAATTCTGTGTTTTTCTGTCAATATGGGGTGCTGTGTGTACATTAATGAGGAAAAAAAATAACTGAAATGATTTTAGCAAATGGCTGCAATATCACAAAGAGTGAAAAATTTAAGGGGGTCTGAATACTTTCCGTACCCACTGTATATATATAATTTGGGGAGGGGCAATAGGGATTTCGCCTAGGGCGTCAAATTGGCTAGAAACGGCCCCTGATAGCAATAATATATAATATAACACAATGTAACAACCAACCTGAGAAGACTAAATGACTTAAATGCCCAAACCTATTTCAAGTAAGACACATAGTGGCTCTTTTGCCTCCCCGTAGCTTTGGCCTTGCCAATCATCAAGATTTTTTTCATTTGCGATCTGGGACAGGAGCTGAAAACTGAGGCATAAAACCGGACACTTTCTGCTGGCTGTATTGACGTTCACGCTGTGTTTGCAAATGAAGTGGATTTGTGAATTTTTTTATGTAAAATCCAGACACACTTTTCAATGAGCATGTGCTGCTTGATACAGTGCCTGTATTTAAAAGAAGAACGTTCAAAATAAGCCTATATTATCTGAATATCAATAAAAAGGGGTCTATATTTTTTTTATCAGTTTTATATATATTGATTACCAGCTAAAAATGGTTTTAAGTCAGTTATTTCTATCTTTGCTGTAGTGTGTCAGTAGGAAATATCAGATTACATTCCAAACATTCATTTTGCAATTAATTGTAATAATCTAGTGAGATTTTTGTTTGCACAAGGAACAGAACAAACTGAGACAGACTAAATCCAGAAAAACTGTGCTAACGTCTCCAAGATGCTTCAAGAGACCTACCTGCAAAGCTACCTGAGAAATTATGCGCAAGGGCACCTAGAGCAAAAGTTTAAACACAATGGATGGTCATACCAAATGTTGATTTCATTTAGATAATAGGAGTTAATGGATAAAGAAAATCTATTTATGACATTATTTTTGACAGCATCGTATTTTTACACAAGTGCCGAAAACATTTAACAGTACTGTAGATTTGCAGGTAGGTTTCTTGAAGCATCTTGGAGACGTTGGCACAGTTCTTCTGGATTGAGTCTATCTCAGTTTGTTCTGTTTCTTCATGTTATTCTAGACAGACTGGATAATGATGAGATCAGATCTCTGTGTGGAGCACTGGCTGTTGTCAGACTCCTTGTGCAAACAAAAATCTCACTAGATTATTACAATTAACGGCAAAATCCTTGTGCAAACAAAAATCTCACTAGATTATTACAATTAATGGCAAAGTGAATGTTTGCAAATGTAAACTGATATTTCCTATACTGACACACTACATCAAAAGATAGAAATAACTGACTTAAAACCATTTTTAGCTGGTGAAAAACTTTTTGAATTTGAAGATCAGGGTACATTTTAACTTATTTTGTAGTACTAAATGAAAAAAAAATTATATTTAGGCAAAATAAGAAAAATGTACACATCTCCATTCTGTTCAAAATGCAAAATGCTCTTAATGCATCGTTTTTCCTTCTGGAGCATCAGTGAGCGTTTTGAACCTTCTGTAATAGTTGCATACGAGTCCCTCAGTTGTCCTCAGTGTGAAAAGATGGATCTCAAAATCATACAGTCATTGTTAGAAAAGGTTCCAATACACAAAAATGCTGGGAAAAAAAAGAATTTGTGGGATCTGAAGGATTTTTCTGAAGAACAGCAGGCAGTTTAACTGGTCAGGACAAACAAGGGACTCATGAACAACTATCACTAAACAAAAAAACACAGCTGTAGATCATTCAGGTAAGAACACAGTATTAAGAATCAACTTTTGAACGTTTTGATTTTTATGAATTCAACTATTATTTTCTCTTGTGGACTATATGTAAACATCTTTTATGTGAAATATCTTATTCAGGTCAGTACTACATAAACAATAACATGCATTTTATATGACCCCTCTTATTTTGGTAAAATAATTAACATTTTGCAGATTCTGAAAGGGGGATGTAAACATTTGACCTCAACTGTATATCAAACAGGAAAATGAAGCGATTTTCTTAAATCACTTTCATTCATTTCAGGAATTCAGCTTCCAACATGGACACAATTTCATCTCTGTACTTTCACTTTTCTGCTATGCAGCAGGCACAGCTAAACAATCGTAACTGGGAATACTCACTGTTCTTCTTATAGAGCAGCACTTCAAAGCAATTGGACTCATAGTTATCAAAGGTCTGTCTGACTTTGTCAATTGTCTTCTTGTCTGTCAGCTCGCCATACATGAAACTGCCGGGGGGACAGAGAGACAAAGGATGAAAAGTCGAAAAAGGTTGTGAGAGTGAGAGAAGTGGGTGTGAAAGTGAGAAACAGGTGATGAAAATGAGCAAGACAAAGAGAGCAGAAAAAGAGAGTTAGAGGAGAGTGCACACCTGTGTGGCACACACATCCGCCCAGCAAACTCTACCTCGTCTTTCACTGTCAGTTAATTCACAGAGTGTGCACAAGGGGGAGTGGCTGATGACACGGGCTGTCAGTTACTGCAGCCGCTCTATTTAACATGCAGAGGCTGGACAAACAGTAGACACTGAACCACAGTTCCGACATGCTCTGCCCTTAAGGTTATGTAAAAGGAAGGAAACATTAAATTTGAAACAGTTTAGGAGAGCAGCAAAAGACAAGATATTCTTGTTTTTAGCGACTGAAGTTCTCGTAAATGTTTGCAAATAAGGTAGCAACACTGGGATTCAAAAGTCTAAGACCACATTGAAAATCTGGCAGTCAGATTATAATTCTAGCCTGAAAAAATACAAGAGACTTTAGAGAAAACAGTTAATGCAAAATATTTATAATTCTGCATCACTCGTTAAGTAGATTTGTGACAATGATCATGTGAACACCTTTGTACAGTCCTTAGTTCATGCTGCTTGAGTGCTAATGTCATTAAAAGAAGAAAATACAGAAAAATCTCAAATTCATGTTCATTTTCTAATTCAGCTTTTTATTCGTTTAGCTTTAAAATGTTTTGCTGATTATAAAATTTGGATCAAATTTTCAGACTAACGTGCATCAAATTCAAAAAATGCCAAATTGGTTTCAGATTTTGGATAATACAATTTAATAATGATAACAAACAAGACATTCATAAAATTCTTTAACATTTTATCAAATATAAATTAGATTAAAAAAATGAAAGACAAAAATCTTCAATACATAATGACTAAGCTGCAGATTTTAGAATTGACACAAGGAAGAGGTAAGACGTAGGGTGAGTGTGGTGGATCTTTTTATGCAGTATATTCATATACATTGGATATTAATAAATTGCATATATAATGGGTATATTAATATTTCCCATTTCTCAATTTCATGACAATATTACAATATGAATTTGGTAAATTATTATTTTTTATTTTTTCTGGTCACTCTATTTTAAGGTCCAGTTTTCACTATTAACTAACTATTAACTAACTATGCAACTTTTGCCTTAATTCTAAAGTCCTAATTTGCTGATTATTAATAGTTAGTCAGGTAGTTGTTAAGTTTAGGTATTAGGCAGGATTAGAGATGTAGAATATGGTCATGCAAAATATGTGCTTTATAAGTCCTAGCAAAGAGCCAAACTGGTTCCTATACCAAAGTGTTACCATTTTCCTTTTTATTTCCATCTTTTCAAATCATGTTATAATCAAAGGAGTTTATTACGTTACTGAGCACTCAAACTTTTTCCTTTCTCTATCTTTCTCATCCATTGTCCATTTCTTTCTTAAGTGGACACCGGAGGACAATGCTCTACACGTGAGTCTCGTAATGTAGCGATTTTAGCAAACTACTACAATCAGGACTGGGTGACTTTGAAACCTCTTTAGCATTGTGCTAAATCCCCCAGTTTCCTTTTAAAGATTTTATTTATTTTGCATCTTACTATCACTTCAGCTTCCATAAAACTAAAAATACAGAGGTAATTATGGTGCATTTGAGTTTTGTGGCCCTAAGCTTCTCAGAGATTTTTAGTATCAAATCCTCACCCTTATTGCTTTAGCTGACAAAGGCTTGTGCCAATTCTACCTCTAAAACTCCCCTTGAATCCTGAGTCAATCTGGAGTCATATCACAGTCTGTAGGCAGATCCATATCACTGCATGTAGGTAGAGCCAAATCGCTGCAGTTGGTATTTCTATTTCTACTCTGATGACTGGCTCCTTACTGAGCGCATTTAGCGCTAACAAGGTGTTCAGTGATGGCTCAGGAGAAATGCGCTTTCTGAGTGGCTAAATAGCACATGCAGATTCTACTATGGCTGATGTGAGAAGTGTGATTTAGCATCATTGCTAACTCAAGCAGAGTGAGAAAATGACACTTCTGTCCTTAACACTTAACCAAATCATTAGCGAAACATCCTCACTTGACTGATAAGTGAAACTTGCAGGTATAGCGGTCAGTTCTCACTTGAGAAAGATAGAAAATAATACTAAATTATCAAACTCTGTCCTTCCTCTACTTCATATTCTGCATTGCATCAGTTTAATAGATTCAGCTTCTGTTATCTGAGCATAATCCCTCTGGAAATGTTTGTGATGTTTCGTTTTCAGATCCAAAATAATGTAATTCCGTGAAAACACGTAATTTAGTTATGATGCACACTAATGCATTTTTGGATCCTGCATACCTTAGCCAGAAAAGTTGCGAATATAAATTTAAATCACATCACTGCCTGTCCCTGACTACTGAATGAGGACAGGGTAAAAATAGACAGGTGGAGAGCCACTCACCTGCAGGTACTGCTTTTCTGAGAAAATAATACTAAATTATCAAACTCTGTCCTTCCTCTACTTCATATTCTGCATTGCATCAGTTTAATAGATTCAGCTTCTGTTATCTGAGCATAATCCCTCTGGAAATGTTTGTGATGTTTCGTTTTCAGATCCAAAATAATGTAATTCCGTGAAAACACGTAATTTAGTTATGATGCACACTAATGCATTTTTGGATCCTGCATACCTTAGCCAGAAAAGTTGCGAATATAAATTTAAATCACATCACTGCCTGTCCCTGACTACTGAATGAGGACAGGGTAAAAATAGACAGGTGGAGAGCCACTCACCTGCAGGTACTGCTTTTCTGCATGACCTCTGCCCTGTGGTAACCAGACAGCTTGCAGAATCCGTCATTACTGTAAACTATAGGCCACTCCACGATTTGAGCATTCCCCAACAAGAAACTTGTCTCTGCAAACAAAAATAAAAGAACACTTTTATAAATGTACATAAATAACTAGTACAGTATATGTATATTTAGTGTTCATATTATTGTCTGGCACGTCAGTTTAACCGACTAGTATAGAATAAAAGAAACACTTTCTTTGGCTTAACAGACCTTAAAATAGTCATTTCTGTAGATGTTTTCTTGAAAGCCTAAGCTCTCAGAAGCATAATTTATGAGAACAAACAGAACTGCTGTTGGGAAGAAAGAGAGGCAATCACATGCTAGTACCATGACCCAGTAGAGCATTTTCTCCATTGAAGCTATTCAAAATTTTTGTAAGCAACATTAAAGGGGTACTATTATGCTTTTTCACTTTTTTAATTTTAGTCAGTTTGTAGTGTGTATGTCTGAGCATAAAAAAGATCTAGAAAGTTACAAATCTCAAAGTCCACTCCAAAGGGAGATATTTCGTTTTTTAAAAATCCATTTTCAAGAACTACAGCAAACGGCTCGTTTGGACTACAGCGTTTGGTTTCCGGGCTTTGTGAAATCACAAAGCGGCTCATTGGAATATCATTAAAAAGAATTCCCACCTACAGAAATTCGAATGGTTGGGGGATGGGAGGGGCGAGGTTGTGGTTAGAACGCTTGGTTGAGTGAGTGCATCAGACAAGACGACGAAGAAGAAGAGCTGCTGCAGTCAGAGTTAGTGCGTCAGAGAAAACCAAGAAGAAGAGCTGCTGTGCTGTAGCCTCAAATTTTTGGCATGTCTAGATCAACAATTCTTACAAGTACAACACGACATAGCTGGGCGCCGCAGACAGACGCCGAACGGCGCCGCCAGAGTGCTTACACTCATAGAAAATAATGTATTTGAATTTTAAAGATGTGGCGGGACGCTGCGCTTCTCGTCCGGTGCGCGACCGCCTGAAACGCTGTTTTTTCCCCTCCGTGCCCAAACGTCTTTGTTTGGGCTTCCGAAAGCGGATGATGTCCGGAAACAGTGGTTGCAAACGGAGCAAGGGGCGTGACAGTACTGAAACACCATCTAAGCTGTTCACCAATCACAACGCACTGGGAAAGCTAACTAATCACAACACATTTTGTTTTTCGGAAGGCGGACCTTCATCAAAGCCGGAACTAATCGAGCCATTTGTGCCAGCCTGGGGAGAAAGGTATTGTAATAATGTAAATGATGTGAAAAATAATGCGTTTTTCGAACCACCAAGGATGAGAGCATGTTCTAGTACACCCCCAAAACAAAATCAAGACTTTGTAAAAGAGCATAATAGGACCCCTTTAAAATATTTTCTAAGTCAAGACATTCCACTCTGTTTATATTCAAAAGTTTAGGTTTGGTAAGTTTTTTGAAAGAAGTCTCTGCTCATCATGGCTGCATTTATTTGATCAAAAATACAGTAAATCGAGAAACATTGTGAAATATTATTGCAATTAAAATAACTGTTTTCTATCTCAGCATATTTTAAAACGAAATGTATTCTTGTGACACAAAGCTGAATTTTCAGCATCATTACTTGAGTCTTCATTGTCACATGATCCTTCAGAAATCATTCTAATATGATGATTTGCTAACATTATTTTTTATTATAAATAAAAAAAAAATATTTTAATTCAATGCATCTTTGCGGAATAAAAGTATTAAAAATATATATATAACTGGCCCCAAACTTTTGAATAGCAGTGTATATAATCTTATTTTATTTATCAAAAATATACTAAATATACTAACTACAAAACAATATGTGGTGGCTAAATCTGCAAACTAACTACTTAACAAATAAACTGCATTAGTTTCTGTAGTTGTGTGACTGCAAAATAAAATTAAATAATGAATTAAATAATAATATAACTGTAAAATAAAACAGCACATATAACATTTAGTCTAATCATCTTAAATGACCCAGACACCTTTTTTCCAAAGGTTAAACACTTCCCTTTCAGTGGCAATTTGTTTAAAAGAAAAAAGACTTGAGTTTCAAACTCTAATTTGTACTCCATTTGTGGAAACTGCCTTAATCAGTTCATCCTTCCATTTGACAAATTGAATTGCAATGCAGTCTTGATATCAATGTAATTGATACACAGTGGTCTAGCCATAGCAGGTGGGTTAAAGACATTTTTCCTGCCATTAAAAAGACTAAGCCATCCTCTCTAGTCTTCATTAGTGTTTTAGTGAGGCTAAAGCCAGCTGACTTCAGCCTCTCGACACAGGTATAAAAATAGCAAGGCAAAAAGAACATTACAGCACTGGAAACAAATCAAGGCACAAATTGTTACAGAAATGTCTGTGACAACAATACAAATCCTTACGCACCCACAAACAGAATCATCTTGCTCACACACACACACACACACACAAGGCTTTTATAATGCGGCAGAGCTACAGTTCTCTCTGGACACATGCAGTCCCCCCTGAGGAAGAGAGAGAGAGACAACGTGGTATTTGACACAGCCATTTAAAAAGGTGGCCACTTCTCTCCTTCATTGAATAGTCTCCATTATCTCTTCTCCTCCTCCTCTTTCAGTTTGCCTCTGCAGGACCGGCTGAAAGGAGAAGTGGAAAGGATAAAGTGAAGTGCTGTCCCCTTGAGGAAGGAGAGTTGAGACTCATTACAGTGGTCTCCATGCCATGGCCCCTGCCCTCGGATCAGGGGCGAATTGCGAGGAAGTGCTCCCTGAGGATGCAAAAGACCTAGATCCTGTTTTCAGATCGGGGCTCGGTGATATGATAACCATGTAATGCTCTGTCACTGATGATATATCGCATTCTTAGCCAAGACAGCACGTTCAGACTAATAAAGTCTCTGCTAAGAAGTCAAGCATTAATAACTAATATGGAAAAGGAGTTCAGGCGAGTGGAGCAGGACCGTGTACAGTCACATCCACAGCATAACCACAATACAGGAAAATCTATGTGTAACGGTGTAAGGAAAGACATTATAGTTTAGATGTTTTTAATTAAATTTTTTTCTATTCATTTAAAAAAAATTGTTCTATTTCTATTTTTTAAATTTACTTTAGTTTTTATTCGTTTTAATGGAGCCCATAAGACAACATAGTGATAGAGGGGGAAAACATTGTATTTCCATGCTTTTGTGTTTGCATGTAACAGGGCTATTATAGTTAATAAAAATAAAACAAAATCTATATAAAAAATATTTAAATTAGTTTTTTTTGTTTTAACTGAAATAAAATGACATAATAAATTATATACACATACATACATATAAAAATAAAGAAGTTTTAGTTTAATTTGATGTACTAAAATAACTCAAACTTAAGCTGAAATAAAAACGTAAACTATATAGTCATATCTAAAAATAAAATGCAAAAAAATAATTGAAATACTGACAATATATTAATAAACAAAAACACAATATATTAATAAAACAAACTAAAATTTAATTGAAAATGGAAAACATAAAAAATAAAACTAACACAAAACATTAATAAATATAGCATCTCAGTGATACTAAAATAACGATGGTTCACAAAACATAAAAATAAAAATGTTTGCTCCCATCTCATAATTTTTTTTCCATCAACATGTCCCCTTAGGTACAAGTTTTCAATCTGTTATTACTAGGTTTAGCTTTTTCAGATTTTTCTTTTAGTTTTAGAAGGCCTGTCAAAGTTAATTCATTAACTGGTATAATTTCATAAGTGTTCGAATAAATTTCCCAGCACAGTCTTATGGTATTGTTCTCAATAGTGGCATGTTTAATGTGGGCAGGTTTTAAAGGCTTCAAGTTCTATTATATATACATAAAAAAATATATATTTTATTGCATTTACAGTTTGTGGCCATGAAAATGATTTTTAATTCAGTTTCTGTTTTTCCCAGTAATGTTTTTATTTCAGTTTACAATAAGAAGACTAGCTGCAACATGAGATAAAATCTTTATTTAGAATTCAAACTTATATGTGACCCTGGACCACAAAACCAGTCATAAGGGTCAATTTCTCGAAATTCAGATTTATACATCATCTGAAAGCTGAATAAATTAGCTTTCCATTGATGTATGGTTTGTTAGGATAGGACAATATTTGGCCGATATACAACTATTTGAACATCTGGATTATGAGGGTGCAAAAAAAAATGAAAATACAGAGAAAATCGCCTTTAAAGTTGTCCAAAGGAAGTTCTTAGCAATGCATATTACTAATAAAAAAATTGAAAAAACATGATCTTGACTTCGATAATCGATAATTTTGACCCATACAATGTTTTTTTAGCTATTGCTACAAATATACCCCAGCGACTTAAGACTGGTTTTGTGCTCCAGGGTCACATATGAACAAAATTGTTGAAACAGTCTTCAAAATATATTTTGTTACCTACACCTTTCAGAATTCAACGCCTGCTTTATAAAGTAAAGCAATACACACACAACACAGATCCACCTCAAGGCAAAAAGAGCATCCATTTCACAGGCCATGAGAGGACACAGCTGTTTTGTCTGGCGGCATGTAAAATCAATGGAATATTGAGACTAGAAAGACTTTAATCTTTATAATCTCACTTGAGGCAAATTAACACTCAGGTTTACCTGTGTCTCTCTTGAATTACTCTTGTTGTTTTTAGGAGCAGCTCATGTCAGCTGATGCAGACTTTTAATAGCTCAAAAGGTTGAAACATACACATCGATCACACTTCCAGATCCACGTGAAGCCTAAGGCAGTCCGTCAGCACTTTATGTGTATTATGGGATGCTGCTGAAAGCTTATCGTGTAAATGGTGAATAAGAGGCATATTGACAGCGATGAAAGACTTAGTGATGTGCGTGCCAACCCCACGTGGGAGGCCAACAGACAGCTGCTAGGCTGCTCTCCACAATTCCACAGCAGCGTGTTTACTGGAAAAACATCTCACACAAGCACTCACATGAACACCTTTACATATATACACATTGTTTTCTTCCCCCTTTACTTGCCCATTCACACAAACCCATGAAATACAGTGGGGGGAAAAAGTATTTAGTCAGCCACCAATTGTGCAAGT